TGTTTTTGTTCCTACTCCTTCGTCCAGACAGGTCCCAGGTCTACTCAGCCCCAACTATACCCTCGTACAATTTCCCCCCTGTATGAATGGCCGGAAGTGACTCATGCAGCTTTGCTCTCTGTCCTGGTTTTCTGTCTCTGAAACCGACGGGGTGGCCCTCTCTCTCATCAGTGGTTGGTCCCTTCCCGAGATTAATGAGCTGGACGTGGTTGCTTTTAATTGAGTTTTCTTTTTTTTTAATTGGGAAAAACTAAGCCGTACGCCAAGGGCATCTTGCTTTGGAGCGCTAATTTAACGCCGAGCTGAAATAGAGCAATTTCCCTGTGTCTTTTGCCATCCAGAATATGCCTTCAGGACTATATGACTAGCCACTAGGGCGTGCACCCCCGTGTTTAAAACGGAGGAAACACTGATCCAAGTGCAAAGCCTGGCCCAGCCAATATGCGCACACACGCACACACACCCCAAAGCACAAACAAAGGCGGGACAAACCTGTCCCAAATTATGATAATCGCCCCACCAAACACTCGGGTGTAACCTTCCACATAACTGTTTGCTCACCGGATCGTTCCTTCTCGCATTCCCACCTGGTTTATAATTCCTCCGCCGCCTTCTTCTTCTGACGAAGAACTTTGCAAAGCACGCCGGCGAGGATCAAAGGAGGGAAGGCTTCCGTCCAGCCTCCCAATTTAATATCCCTGCTAATTAGGGTCAGCGGCCAGATGCCTTAGCCAAGGATTGTGCTGAGTAGGGAACATAGCTGAGGTGGAACTCACTGCCACTTGAGGCGGGCCTTGTGGACAGCGCCGAATCCAAACAGTATCCAATTAGAAGAAAAGTTGTGGTTAGAGGAACATTGTTCACTCCATCTTGATAGGTTTTTTTTTTTAATTTTTTTTAAAGGCATTTTTATTTAAGTTTCATTTTGAGGTACGTGTGCAGAGAAAAGAAAAGTTAGAAAAATAGAAAAAAGAAAGAAAAAAGGGCAGAGAAGGGGAAATACAGTATATATCTTTCTTTCTTTCTTTCTTTCTTTCTTTCTTTCTTTCTTTCTTCCTTCCTTCCTTCCTTCCTTCCTTCCTTCCTTCCTTCCTTCCTTCCTTCCTTCCTTCCGTCCTTCCTTCCTTCTCTTTCTTTCTTTCTTTCTTTCTTTCTTTCTTTCTTTCTTTCTTTCTTTCTTTCTTTCTTTCTTTCTTTCTTTCTTTCTTTTCGTCCAAGAAGCTTCTTCGGCTCTGACTCCATAGACATCTGGGAAGGATAGTTTAACCATCTTTGGCTTGTCTCTGGATCTTTTTGGATTCACTGATCGGACAGCCGTTTGTCCGGAACGGTATAGGTCTTGTACTCGAGCGGGGGATTGGACTAGATGACCTCCAAGGTCCCTTCCAACCTTGATACACGTCCTTGTTCACGACTGTGGCTCCGTGGTACCTGAAGTGGAACATCCAGATTCAGCCACAGTTCTATCAACCTTGTGAACTCTCAAACTTCCTCTTTCCGCTATGTATTCAAGATGGACAGTGATTAATATTTATATGTATGTATTTATATGTTCGGGTGTAGGTATAAACATCTGTATGTATATAGCGTATCTGTGTGTGTGTTATTTTGAGAGCAGGCAGCAGAATTTCATTTTTAATGGGTGCCAGAGTCCCACAGGGGGGGAAAAAAAGGACAAATAAAGGTTATTCTATGCTATGTTCTTCTTCCACAAAAGAAGGTCATGCAGGAGAAGATTGTATTTTCCAGGAACCAAAGGTCACAGGCTAGATGGAAGTGCCCATTAATCTTGGCTTCAGCCACCCGGAGTTACCTTACGATAATATGGGCGGCCAATAAATTTGATAAATTAAAAAAAAAACCTTCACTTCCTGGTTGAGGACAATGGACATATATGTACAAATAGGGAACAGCTGAGATAACTCAGAAATGGTGTAGGGTCTCCTGCTTGGGTGGGTGGGTGGGGGGGTGAGACTAGATAACCTGCAAGGTCCCTTCGAACTCTGTTAATCTGTTAAAAGCCTTGGGAGGAAGACAATGGCCCCTCCTTCCTTCCTATTGACTCTAGTATGGAGGCTTTACACACATATATGCGTGCACATGACTTCACGTGTTTGTTCAGTACCTGAAGAAAAAAAAAACTCTGGAAAGTTAAAATTTGCTCTTGTGGGAATCTTTAGAAGCAGGTTGCACAATATAGTTGCAACTTTTAGCAGCTGAACTTGCCAAATAGCCTTAATTTTGCCCATTTTGGGGGTTCACGCAATGCATTGAATTTTCACAACCAGCTTGGTTGAGTGGCGAAGGTTAGAAACCAGGTGCCTGGGAGTTCTAGGTCTGCCTGAAAGATGAAAGCTGCCTTGGGTACTCTTGGCCAGTCATCGTGAGATGGGGAGTTCTAGCCCCACCTTAGACATGAACGCCGACCGGGTGACTCTGGGCCGATCACCAGGAGACTGGGAGTTCTAGTCCCACTGTAGGTGTGAAAGCTGACTGGGTGAGTTTGAGCCCATCACCAGGAGACGGGGAGTTCTAATCCTGCTTTTGGAATGAAAGCCCACTGGGTGACTTTGGGCCAATCACCCGTAGATGGTGAGTTTTAGTTCTGCTTTTGGCATGAAAGCAAAATGGGTGAGTTTGGCCACTCACCAGGAGACGGGGAGTTCTAATCCTGCTTTTGGCATGAAAGCCGACTGGGTGAGTTTGGGCCGCTCACCAGGAGACGGGGAATTCTAGCCCCACCTTAAGCATGAAAGTCAGCTGGGCGACTTTGGCCTAGTCCCTCCTTCTCTCTTTCAGCCCAACCTCACAGGGTTGTCGTGGGGAAAAAAAAAATAGCAGGAGAAAGGCATCATGAGATACGTTCACCACCTGGAGTTGCTCGTAAAGTAATACAGCCGGGAACAATTTTTTAAAATAATTCGCCCCCAGACCCGTTTGTAGATTCGTCCCCCTTCGCGAAGGGCAGAAAAAGCAGCTTTGCACGGATTTGTAGGTTTAACAGGAAAAGGAAAAACCTTTAACCTGGTTACGCAAGTACAGCCAGGGTAGACATATTGCAACAGGTTGGCAGAGCGTGATGGGAACAGAAATTAATTGGCAATCGGGAGCCTTCAGATTAAGCGCCGGGAGCGGGGGGGCCGGGGGGAGAAGTTTGGATGGCGCCTTTATTAAACAAGTATTATGCATGGCTAATAAATATATCAGGCCAGTGATTGATTCGGCTCCCGCTGAGAGGCCTTCTGGGTCAAAAACAGGGCTGAATCAATGCCAGCCAGTTGGGGAATCTAATCTGGGCGCCGAAAAGCAGCAGCCTGACTGACAAAAAGTCTTACAGCCCTTTAATGACTGTTCCGAAGTTATGCCGACACTGAAAGAAAGTGGACTTAAGGCCATTTTTCACACTTACGCCCATTGTAGCCTCCTCGGCAGCGGTCCCTCGATCAACATCCAAACGTTTGGCCATCGTCCTGTATTTACGGCGGTTGCAGTGATCCCTTTTTGCGTCCTCCTGACAAGCAGTCTCAAGGGGGAACCCAGATTCGTTTTGTTCATCGTGCTAGTAACTTTTCAAGGACGTAAAACGGGGCAAAAACTCATTCAACTGCCCTGCTTCGCAACAAAAAAATAATTGGGCTCAATTGTTGTTGTACACTGAGGGGCGTCTGTAGATGCTCCTTCCTGAAAGGCACAATTGCCTAGCAAAAAAAATCAGCATCGGAGCCGGAAGGGACCTTGGAGGTCTTCTAGTCCAGCCCCCTACCGAAGCAGGAGACCCTATACCATTTCAGACAAGTGACCGTCTAGTCTCCTCTTAAAAACAAGTTTGTGCATGTCTGCACACGCACAGACTTCAAGTCATTTGGTCAATGAGGACGGTTTTAAAAAAACAACCACCCCCCTTGGCTTTTAGATCTCAACCATCTAGGCTTATGAAGCCTTTGTGAAGGCTTCCAATTGTTTTCCTGCAGGCATTAGGCAAAGCCCCCCCAAACATTTCCCAGGCACCCCCCCCCCCCACTTCCCTCCCTTGTGTATCCTGTTTTCCAATTGATTGTTTCCATAGAAGTATTTTAAAACAGGAAGCTGCCGCAGTTGCAAATCAAATCGCCAGACTTTAGCAATGTCGTTTCTTGCACGAAGGGCCGGACGGGTTGCACAGGGGATGGCAAAAATTAAATCACCACCACCACCCCGAGACGAATTTCATCAGGAGGGGTTCCCCCCCCCCCCGTGTGCTCTTAACCCCCCCACCCCACCCACCATCGCCTCTGCCTGACCCTGTTAGCAAACTGGGATTTGCGTAGGCTTTCAAGCCTCTGCCTGGCTGGGTGTCAGCCTTCAAGGTTTCTTTCCTTTGCTTTTCATCTTTCGGCTGTCGTAAGTAATGGGGGTGGGAAGAGGTGAAATAGTTATGGGAAGCGAGCTGGAGGTTTCAGAATAAACTGTATAAGTCGTTGGGGGAAGCTTCTTGTTTATGCTTTCTCATGCTATGTGCAAGCACACCTCTTTATCAAAATATGTCAACGGGCAAATGCCACATCACCACCTGAAGATGCCCACATGACATTATATACACCTTTTAATTGGATGGACAGCTTGAATTATTGTGGGTGGGACCGTTGCCATCAACTTTGCATATGTGATTTACGCGCTCATTTTCTCAAGATTCGGAATTCCTTTGATGATGCTACCACTTGATTTCCACTAAAAGATATATTTTCTCTAATTAATGGAGTCTTAACTATTTCTTGGATTTTTTGAATGGAGCACCAGCTGACGTTATTCTGAATCTCAGTTTATCAGCCCGCCCGGAGAATTAATATTTTTCTTCCGAGGGGGTCTGAAAACAATGTCCAAATCCAGCCGGCAACCAAGAAGACCTGGGGGCGGTGGGGAAGGCCCACTAGATGTTGCTGGGAAGGGTAGTCGAAGGACGCCATGGGAAGGTCCCCAAAGCTCTATCTGAGCGGCAGATCCAAAGACAAGCAAACGTAGGCTCATAAACAAAAGAATTGAGCAATCTTTATTTCTTTATCAAGAGCCTTGAGGCAGAATACTTTCCACGCCCGTTTCAAAGGTCACTTCTGGCTTTGCCACAAAACACCCGAAGGCCAAGACCAAAACACCTGGGCCGAACGGTGGAGGGTGAATACAGGCAAGGCAGCACCATGGATCTGGGTACCCCAAGGCTGGTCTTCCCCCCTCTTCTCCTCCTTGACTGATTTAAGGATTTTTTTTTTTTTTTTTGCAAGATAAACAGATGACAGCAGACTCAGCTGCACGGTTGTGTCCCCTCTTAACACCCCCCTCCTCAAAAAGATGAACCCAGATAGGGGTCTTCCAACAACCCAGATCCCCAGGGGTTACTTTTGGGAGAAAGGAATGAATCACCTATTTTTTTTTTCAGATTGGGGTGGGCGTGAGTGCAGGACCCTCAAAAATTCACCCCAAATGAAGAAACGCAGGAGTGCAGCTCACCATCTAAAGAGCATCTAATGGGTATTTTGGAATGAAGCAAAACAAGTCCCCTGAAACTTTAGATAAGACTTTCTTTTTTAGAAAATAATTTTGGTCCAGAAGAAAAGTGCGACCCTGGGTTTTGGTTCCAAAGAAAGTGCTTTTTCGGAGGTTTGGAGAAAGGCAGGCAAGATGGGAGAAGAATTGGTCCCGAATGGATGGAAAAGGGTGTGTGGGGAGAATATATATATATATATCTCAAGATTTGGGCATCCTTGGAGAAATGAAGGGTCGTGAGACGATGGAAAGGCAGGGGAGAAAGTAATTCTCGGCTGAGGCAGGAAAAGCAGGAATGGGGAGATACGACCGAATAAACCCTAGAGGAATTTTTGTTGTCATATTTAAAAAATGGTCAAAAGGAATCTGGAGGAAAAAAAAAAAGGAAGAATCCCAAAGGATTGTTTCTTGGAAAAGAAACTCGGAAAGTTCTCTGGAAAAAACAAAAAGAACAGAAAAGAAAGGAAGATATTGGAGGAGGCGAAGGGGAAGGCCGGGATGGCCGGGATCTCAAAGGATCTGGCGGGGCATCCCGTAGCCCGTCATGCCCGCCTGGGAAGCCCCTCGGTTCGTCCCCATCTGCAGCCCGATGACGTTCTGTCCCTCTCGGAGTTGGTTGTCCGAAAAGGCTCGGCGGTTCTCCTGCGATTTCCTAAGCAACACAAACAGGGGAAAAAAAAGAAAAGAGTCTTAACGAAGACAGCGAAATTCCCAGGTTGGAAGGCGATGCTGGCTTAATGGTAGTTTAAGGAAGAAACCCCAAGGGGAAAGGCGGGCACCTCAAGGGACAGCAATACGGGGGGTCCTCGACTTACGACCCTTCGTTGAGTGACGGGCTGAAGTGACGACGTCACTGAAAAAAGAGTTCTATGATATTTTTCACGCTTCAGCAGCCATCGCAGCATCCCGGTCACGTGATCAAAATTTGGATGCCGGGCAGCAGGTATGTACAGGTTGTCCTGGACTTACAGCTACAACGGAGCCCAACATTTATGTTGTTAAGTGGGATGTTTGTTAAGTGAGGTTTGCCCCATTTTATGACTTTTCTTGCCTGCGTTGTTAAGTGGATCGCCGCAGCAGGTAAATTGTAACACGGTTGTTAAGCGAATCTGGATTCCCCATTGATTTCGCTTGGCAAAAAGCTCAGCAAAGCGGGGGAAATCACGTGACATTGGTGACCCAAGCAACAGTCATAAGTATGAACCCGTTGCCAAGCGTCCTGAGATTCTGATCATGTGACCAGGGGGATACTGCGACGGTTGTAAGTGAGGAAAAATGGTCGTAAGTGAGGAAGAGTGAGGAAAAATAAGTCCCTTTCCTTCCAGTGCTGTTCATTGTAACTTTGAATGGCCACTAAATGAACTGTTTTAACTCAAGGACTGACTGCATCTATGACAATTGAACTCTCCCGGGGAGATGGAATCGCTATTTGCAAACTTCTTCCCAGCTATCTTCCAAGAAGCCCAGTCCATGGGGGAAGCCAGATTCACTTAATGACCGTACGATTCCCTTAACGACTGCAGTGATTAACGTCTGGGCAACAGTGGCTGTGAAGTGGGACAAAACTCACTCAACGACGACTCAACTGTGGTCGTAAGTGGAGGGCTACCTGTGCAATTCAAGATGCTGGTTGTCACCTTCGAAGCCCTACCTGGCTTGGGGCCAGTTACATCCCCCCCACCCACCCGAGAGGGGGGGCAGGGGAGGTTGGGGCCCCCTCTCTTTACGATGCTCTATTTGGTGGAATCCGGAAGAAGGGCCTTCTTCGTGGTGGCTCCCTTCCCACGACATCTTTCCTGATCAGTGGTGGGACTCAGATTTGTTTTACTATCGGTTCTGTGGGCATGCCATGGCTTGGTGGGCGTGGCAGGGTGAAGGATACTGCAAAAAACCCCTCCCCACCCCACTAGCCTGCTTTCCAGCTCCGTTCTCCTGCGCAGGACAACCAAAGGAGACCCAGCCAATCAGCTGGGACTCAATGGGAGGCGGAGAATAGATGGGGTTGGCGGGGCCAGTCAAAGACGGCATTGGCCGGTTCTCTGAACTACTCAAAATTTACACAGCTGGTTCTCCAGAACCGGTCCGAACTGGCTGAATAGCAATAGCACCTAGGCTTATAGCACTTGATAGTGCTTCGCAGCCCTCTCTAAGCAGTTGACAGAGTCAGCTTATTGCACCCAACCATCTGGCTCCTCGTTTTACCCACCTCGGGAGGACGGGAAGCTGAGTCAACCTGGAGCCTGGTGGGATTTGAAGGGCCAAATTGTAGGCAGCCGGCAGTCAGCAGAAGCAGCTTGCAGTACCGCACTCTAACCACTGTGCCACAGAGGCTCCTATTGAATACCACCTCTATTCCGGATTAGGAAGACCTGGTTCTGCCAACAGGCCTGGGGGACCCTCCCCAGGGAGATTGTGGCTGGTGTGCACCCACTCATTGTGGCTGGTGTGATTGTTGTCGTCAAAGAGTAAGGTTTAATTGGAGCGTTGATTCCGCAAGCCGCCCAGAATCATCCTGAGCGCAGTCATATCCATTCTCTTGATAAAATATAATAAAATACCCCAGGCAGACCCTGGTGCCCACGCTTGGCTTTCCAATCAATACAGAAACCTGGCTGACAAGCCCACTTACTTGGGGAACCAGTTGGGGTCTCCCACGAAGAAGCCATCGTCTTTGGAGACTGCCAAACCGCCCAGGTTCATCAGGGTCCTCTGAACGCAGGCCATGTTCTTCCCTGCAGGGTGGAAAGAGGTCAGGAAGGGTTTTCCAGCGTCGCTTCCAGTCCATTGTCCCAAAAGTGCGTTTTTTCACGAGGCAACTGGGTTTTCTTTGTTTTTTTTTTCTTTGAAGACGTTTCGTTTTTTTATCCAAGAAGCTTCTTCAGCTCTGATTTAGATGTCGGGGAAATGGAAGGGTTTATACACTCCTTGCAGACAGCTGGTCATTTGCCTCCTTTTAGAGGGTCGTTGAGGCCACTTGGAGGCTTATCTGTATCCTCAGGGTCACCTGAGTGGTTCCAGCAGATCCAAGAAGGCTCCCCACCCTATTTGCACCACTCAGGTGACCCTAAGGACACAGATGAACCTCCAAGTGGCCTCAACAACCCTCTGAAAGGATGCAAATGACCAGCTGCCTGCAAGGAATATCAATCCTTCCATTCTCCACCATCCAGTCAGAACTGAAGAAGCTTCTTGGATGAGAAGCAAAACCTCTTCAAACAAAGAACAAGAAAGGTCCAGTTGTCCCCTGAAAAAACGCCGCTGGGGCAAGCACGACGGAGTCTCTACACGACTGGATCTCTACAGACTTCCAGTCCACTGGACTTCAAATCCTAACCTCATTCTCACAATCGCTTGCATTCTGCAGAAGGATTCAAAAACCTTGAACCTTTTTCTCACATTCGGCCCTTCGCACAGCTTTCCAAGAATACCAAGGACTGATCTGTATATTATATAGGCAGTCCTCAACTTATGACCACGATGGTGCCCAAAATTTCTGTCGCTAAGCGAGGCAGGCGAGTGTGGCTCCACGTCACAACCTTTCTCCCCACAGTCATTCACTTGACAACTGCTGCAGGAAAAGTCATAAACCGGGTCAAAAAAACTCACTGAGCAACTGGTCTTGCTTAGCAATTTGGCCATTTTCGGTTCAATTATCGTGGTAAAACGAGGACTATCACTATTGGCCTCTGCCCATTCTGTCCCCAGTTCTCAGATTTCCCAGTGAAAGGAAAAAGAGAAATTTAGTTTCTAGCCATTCCTTAAAAACAAAACAAGTGCTTCGTTTCCCCGTAAGTGTTGCAACATAAAATCCAAACAGCATTGTAGTTTTGAAAACATTCATTAAAATCAGATACCTTTTGAAAACAAACAAAAACAAGTGAGCATCAAAACATTTAATGCTACAAAAATGACTTTGGGTCGAAACTTGACAGTATGCAACTAAGAGAAAACTGCAAATAGGCCAGTTTTTAGCAGGCTGCCTCATCTCCCTTAAATGCACAGAAAAAAGAAAGAGAAGAATTTGCAAAATAAAGATACCCCACGATAGCTCAAATAGACTTTGCATGAAACAGTGTTTCTCAACCTTCACCGCTTTAAGATGTGTGGACCCAGAAGTCCCCAGCCAGCATATTTTATTATTTCTGGACTTCCATTCCCAGAATTCCCCAGCCAGAATGCTTTTAAGATGGGTGGACTTCAACTCCCAGAATTCCCTAGCCACTGCCATGGAATAGAACTCTGCGATTCCTAGAAATGTGCCCTTTTAACGGTATAAATCATCCATCAGTTTGAAATAGCTGCTCAAAATATCACAAAGGAAGATCCACCGATGTAAATTCAACCTCTCTTTATCTGGCAGCCATTTTGTGTGTGTGTTCGGGATAACTTACAAAAACAACAACTAATTTCTGGTTTCTTTTTCTTTTTTCCTGGTTTCTGATGACTACAGAGAGCGGGACAGCAAAGCACCCTTAAAAAAAAAAAACCCTTTTAAAACTCTTTTAAAAATTTTATCTTTTTTAAAAGAAGCAGAGAATTCAACCTCTCATTGCCCAACTTGGGACTTATGGATAGGATAGAATATAGACTAACGGAGTTGGAAGGGACCTTGGAGGTCTTCTAGACCAACCCCCTGCCTAGGCAGGAAACCCTACACCATTTCAGACAAACGGTTATCCACATCTTTTTAAAAACTTCCAATATTGGAGCATTTACAGCTCCTGGAGGCAAGTTGTTCCACTGATTGATTGTTGTCACTGTCAGGAAATTTCTCTTCAGTTCTAAGTTGCTTCTCTCCTTGGTTAGTTTCCCCCCATTGCTCCTTGTCCTGCCCTCAGGTGCTCTGGAGAATAGCTTGACTCCCTCTTCTTTGGGGCAGCCCCTGAGATATTGGAAGACTGCTAGCTATCATGTCATCCTTAGCCCTTCTTTTCATCACACTAGACATGCCCAGTTCCAGCAACCATCCTTCATATGTTTTAGCCTCCGGTCCCCTAAAGACAAAATAGTGTAAATAGCAGGTGGGTTTTCTAAGTCCAGCCAGCTTGTTGCTAGAAGCACCAATGCTTGATGGCCTCGGCTCTTTCTTTTTGAAACATACCTTCCCACAAATCCACCGTTTGGAAAATGTCCGACGCCAGGATGCCGTACTTCTCGGCCGCATGTAAGAATTGAGAAATCTGCTCCATTTGTTTGAAGGCCATGGTGAAAGACTGGATCTTGGCCACGGGCCCCTGGCCCTTCGGATACAGGCTGTTGATGAGCCGGCAGAGTACCTAAGGAGAACAGGAAGCACCGCACATTTAATTTCCTCATTCCCCTTGCGGATTGTCTTAACTTCTCTGTCCAAGGGTCAAAAACCAGATCGAGTTGGTCTCCTTGAGCCAAAAAACCAGATGCATAATACTCTGGGGGGTGATTTATGGCAGATTTGAGGTCTCTGCCATAAAGCTTTACAAAATGATTAGTCAAATGGTCATTTTGTGTGTGTGTCTAAATATCAAGTTGCTAGTCCCTTTTAAAAAAAAGAGGCATCAAAAAATCTCTTCTCTACTAAGTGATGAGTCAAATGGTGATTTTGTGTCTAAATGTCAAGGGAGAAGTTGCTAATCCCTATTAGAAAAGTGTGAATCTAAAAAAACAACCCTCTTTTTCTCCAGTAAATGATCAGTCAAATGGTGGTTTTGTGTCTGAATGCCAAAGAATAAGTTGCTTATTAGCGTGGCTCTAAAAATCTGCTCTGCTTTATGGCTTGCACTAACGCTTCCATAATAGTAGCCTAGCCTTTTTTTTTTTAATGATTTATTTAAAAAGCCCACAAGAGAGTTTCAAACTATTTATATTTGCATCAACATCTGGAGTCCTTTCCATGCCTCTCCCCGGACTTTATATAACTAATTTAACAAGAGCTGTTAGAACTTATTTTTTAATGCAAATTCTTCCCTTTAGGCCTTACAATTTTCCCAACGTGGGTGGGCTTCATTCATGTACTTTCTTTTTTTTTTTTTTTTTGCTTTAAATCTTCCACCCTTTCGCCAACTCCACGGTGGATTTGACTAAAATAATTTTTCGAGAGCCATTTCTGCTTCATCCAATACAGTGAGAGCAAGCAGAGGGAAAAGAATAGAGGCAACGTAGCAATAATAATAATAATAATAATAATAATAATAATAATAATAATAATAATAATAATAATTTCTCACCGTGCCATCTTTCAGCCATTTCTGGAAATTGTCTTTGCCCGGTTCAGGCTCCCCGATGTCTGGCCCACACTGGGCCTTGATCCACTGGATGAGAATCTGTTCCAGCTCAGGATCATACTGTCGGTCGATCTTTTGCTGAACCTCCCGACTGAGTCCGTAAGCAGGGCCTCGGTTTGCCATGACGGTAAAGGTGGTTGGGTGATGGATTTCCAAAAATGTGATCTGGGAGAGAGAGAGAGAGAGAGAGAGAGAGAAAGACGAAGACAATCTTAGGATTAAATGATTGGATATTCCAGAATTTATTAAGGTGCAAGACAGGGCATCTCAATCGCAGCAACTTTAAGATGGGTGGATGTCAACTCCCAAAATTCCCAGCCAATGTATTTTAAGATAGGTGAATTTCAACCCCCCAGGATTCCCCAGCCAGCGTGCTTTATGAGGAATGGACTTCAACTCCCAGAATTCCCCTCCAATATACTTTAAGATAGATGGGTGGACTTCAATTCCCAGAATTCCCCAGCCAGCCTGCTTTAAGAGGAGTGGATTTCAATACCCAGAATTCCCCTCCAATATGCTTTAAGATAGATGGGTGGACTTCAATTCCCAGGATTCCCCAGCCAGCCTGCTTTAAGAGGAGTGGACTTCAACACCCAGAATTCCCCAGCCAATGTAGTTTAAAATAGGTGGACTTCAACACCCATAATTCCCCAGCCAGACTACAACTCCCTGATTTACATCCATGCTGGCTGGGGAATTCTGGGAGTCGAAGTCCACGGATCTTTAAAGCTGCCAGTTTTTGACATTCCCGGTGTAAATCCAAGGATGTCAATCAAAGCACAGCAAAGAAAACGCAAGTGTGCAAAGTAAAAACTTGCCACGGGACCAGTGACTCTTGATCTTTTGCTGATTTCGTGGTCCGTGGAGGAAGGAACCCGGGTGAAGAAAAAGCTGTTTTGCTTCAGAAGACACCCTGGGTCTCTCTCAATCACCTGTCCTGATGTGCTATGACGGTATCCTAAATCTTAGCACATCAGGCGAGAACAGCGCTCTGTACGCGCTTCGGGTCCTCCTTCTGACACCATCCAGATTGGCATCAGGAGCCCAGGGGATTAAGGGAGACGCTTCCCACCAAAGCTGGTGGAAAAAAAAAAAAAAACCCCCGCTATGGTCCGGATTCCTATCTCTGCAGGATTGGCAACACCTCAGCTTTCTTACTCAGCAGAGACGGGTGGGGCAAACCTTCCGATGAGACTTGAAACCGGATCCTCTGAGTCACTTCTGCCCCCTGATCACAAACAGCCGATCCGGATCCAGCTGGAGAAATGAAGCCCGGCCTGTTCTCTTATCCAAGCCTTGGATCGGCTCCTCCTGGGGGGGGTGGGGTGGGCAGGGGGGTTGCGCCCACCTGCCTGCCAGCCACGAGGCCAGGAATTGTGAGTACAGGTGGTCCTTGACTTATGACCACAACGGAGCGGCCAAATTTCCATTGTTAAGCAAGAGGGTTGTTAAGTGAGACTTGGCCAATTTTATGTTTTTTTGGTGGGGGGAGTTAGTCTAGAGTTAGTCTAGAGAAAAGACGGACTGGGGGGGACATGATAGCAGTCTTCCAGTATTTGGGGGACTGTCACAAAGAAGAGGGGGGGGGGGGGTCAACTTACTCTACAAAGCCCCAGAAGGGAAGACAAGGAATAATGAATGGAAACTAATCCAGGAGAGAAGCCATCAGTGAGAACTCTTAAATCAGTGGAATGGAGGTTGTGGCTGTTCTATCACTGGAGGTTTTTAAGAAGAGACTGGACAGCCCCTCGTCTGGACTGGTCTCCCCTGCTTGAGTAGGGGGGGTTGGACTAGAAGACCTCCAAAGGTCTCTCCCAGCTCTATTCTGACTGAATCCTGAGATTTCTCATTTGAAGTGCCCGTCTTACAAGCCGTTGGAATAAGAGGCCCTCAGGGGCCTGGCACACCCCTAATTGTCTGTGCCCTCCTTCTCTCCCCACCCACCCTGGCAGGACAAAATGGATGCCAAAGCTCAAAGCTGGGTTACTATCAGCCTTACTTGGGGCAAATCAAGGATATTTTCCTGTGACCGGAGGGAACACCCGTTCATGGCTCCTCTCGGCCCCTCCTTCCTTCCTCAGTCCAATTCTTACATCATGAGCCCCTGTGGCTTTGTTTAAAATTTTTCCTCTGTATCCAGTTCCAAATCTGATAAAATGGGGAGCCAAGTTTCTCACAGGGTAGGAAAGCCGTCTAAAGGCAGAGATGCTTCGGCTAATTGTCTTTAAAAAAAGGCACACAGGTAATCTTTCTAGCGCTCTTGGGTAGGTGAGCGGGTACAAGGTCTGAGATACCTCTCCGTGGGTGGATTTCTCACCAGACAGTTCCCGTGGGAGTTGCAGACAGACTGGCAACCCCTGATCAATAAGATCAGGCCGCGGGAATCTTTCCAACATTTTTCTCTGGCGCCCCCATCAAGGCACAGGTGAGGGACAGTGGGAGGGAGGCAGAAAAATCAGCTATTAGCCTTAGACAGGGACATTGGCTGGGTGGTCTTGGACCAATCACCAGGAGACAGTGAGTTCTAGTCCCACCTTAGGTAAGAAAGCCGTCTGGGTGACTGGGCCAATCACCAGGAGACGGTGAGTTCTAGTCCCGCCTTAGGTATGAAAGGCAGCTGGGTGACTTTGGGCCAATCACCAGGAGATGGTGAGTTCTAGTCCC